CTCGCCGCGCCGGGCTGGCGGGCTGACCATCGCCATCACTCGCTCGTCGAGAGAGCTGGAAACAACCCGTCCAGAGGTTTCCTTCCGCCGTGTCGGGGCTGTCCTTGTGTGGCGCGGCCGCCGCCGTGCGCGGTGCGCTGGCACCTGGCCGTTGCGTCAGCGCGCTCTGCCGCGGCTCAGCCTGCTTGGCCCGTGCGGTGACGAGCAGCACAATGCGGGCGCCGGCCGCTGCGCTGCTCGACTCGCTTTGATTTTCCCCTCTTTTCCTCGCTTTCCTCCTTCGCCCCGGCGCGCGGCGGGGTCACGTGACTCGAGGTGCGCGCGAGAGAAGGGTAACGTGTGTTTGAGGCCCCCGCCCGCGGGGCATCCCGTCGGCCCTGGCTGCGTGCCGGCGCGGCGCTGGCGGGGCAGGCGCGTTTGTGTTCTGTCCGACTGGACTGGACTGAACCATCCGCCCCAAGGACAGCGGCCTCGCCTCGCGCCTTTCTCTGCCTGGCCAGGGCGCCGCGCCGCGCCCGCGGCGTACACATACAAGGGCCGTGGCGTGTTTTCCCGGTAAAGACGAGAGCGTTTTTCGGGCTAAGAGCGCGGTGGTGGTGGTGAGCCATGAGCCCCCCCGGTAACAGCGCGCGTGTCACCTCCGCCCTTCTCGCCCCCCTCCCCCGCCAGGTGGACCGTACCGCGGCTCGGCTCGCGAGGCCCGCGGGGAGAAGAAGATGCCGTTCGCGCCGCACAATAGTACTCGATACGGGCGCGGCGTGGCGGAGCGTAGCGGAGCGTAGCGGAGCGTGACGCAACGGCCGATCAACGCGGCGCGGCGGCGTTGCCAACCCTGCAGGGGTGGAGGGCTGTCCAGGTCCGGGCGGCGCCGGCTCGAGTGGGTTGCCTAACCTGTCAGGCTGTCAGGGCGGCGCCGGTTTCGCCCCGCGGGAAAGAGCAGTACTTGTGCCTGGCCCATCCTCACGGCCTCGCGGCCCCCGTCCGCATCACGCTGGTTGCGTCGGGGCGGGCGGGGTGGTGGGGAGGGATCGCAAAGGTGAGCGCAGCCGATGATCGGCGAGGACCCCGCGACCCCACTCCGACCCCAGCCCGACCACGAGCGCGCGGCCCCGCGGCGCAGCGCGGCAAGGGCTGGGTACAGTCTGCTCGCGAGGACTGGCGGCGCACCTGGCACTGCGCACTGCGCTGGCGCGGCGGGGGTGGGGACGGGGTGGGCTGGTCGCGCTTGACGGCCTCACCCCTCTGCCCGACCCGGGCCAGGCTCCCCCACCGGAAGGACGCTCGCCAGGACGCCGCCAACCACGCTGGCCATGTTCTCCCTGTCGGCGGAAGAGACGGGGGACCGTTGCACGACTCTTGTTGGCAGTGCTGCTGCTGCTTGGCGCGGTGCGAACCGAACGGGGTCTCCTGCTGCAGTCGGCTCCGTGCAACCTGTGCCTGGGCCAAGCCCGGGCCCAGCACCGCTAGCGGCCGGGCCGGGCCGGGCCGGGCCGGGCCCTCTCTCGCGGGCCGCGCCAGAGCCGCGCCAGGGCTCCGCGGGCCCGGCCCCGGCCCGCCCCGCCAGCGCACCCAGCATGCACCGCAACCCGTTTGATTAGGCCTCGTTGCACCTGTAGGCTGCTGTAGGCACCCCCGCTCTGGCCGGGGCCTCTGGCCGGGGCCGCCAGGACTGCCCTGTTGCCAGATTGCGGGGGGTCAGTAAGACTGCGCCAGGATGACGCCGCGCTCTGGGCGCTCGCGTGCGTCCGCGCTCTGGGTGCGTGCGTCTGGGTGATGACCCTCGACGCCGCCCACCACCACCCCGACGGGAAGTGGGAAAGGTAGAAGAGGGGTTTTGGACCCTCCGTCCAATGCAGGTGTGTGTTGGTGTGTGTCCGCTCGAGTGCGCGCCGCGCCGCCGCCGCGCCCCGTTCGCCCCGCCGGACATAATTGCTTACGATATGAGATCGTTATCTGTGGGTTTGCATCCTGCAGCGACGCGGCGCGGCGCGCTCTGGTGGCCGCGGCCGGGCGACACTCTGGCCGCTCGCCATCGTCACGGCCATCATCATGTCGACGCCCCCTGCAGACTTTCTAAGACTTTTGCCAGCGGGTCGTCGTCACCGCCCTCCAGGAACCCTTGCAATGCACGACGCGGACTCGACGGCGTCCTCCTGCACCGGTGCAGCGCCACGATGACGTGGTGGACGTGCTCTCCCGCGGCCGGGTGTTGTGGCGGCCTCCCGGGGCGCGGATTGCGATCTGGTCCGGCGTCTAATGAAGCCCTGGGAACGGCACGGCCTCGCCGCCGTGGCCCGGCCCGCCCGAGACGGGGAGGCTCAGTTTCGCAGTCGCGCGAATGTCGCTCCCAATTTGCGATCAGGTCAGCGGGCGCGGGGCTCTGTGACGCAACCGTTTGGCGCTGTATGGCCCGCGGCGGGGCCGGCGGGGCGGGGCGGGGCGGGCGTGCTGTTTGCTCGCGGGGCAGGTGGCTCGCCGAGGATCGAGGTGATTGACGTGGAACTTATCGAGCGGCGTGGGCGCCCTCCGCTGCCTCCGCGGTGCATGCCGCTCGGCCTTGGTTGGACGCGGCGCCGCAAGCTTTGGACCCGATGATCGACCTGATCCGCCGCCCGCGACCCTCGACCCTCGCCGTGGCCCTTTCCCCCGCGGCTGCGGCTGCGGCGCCGATGATTGCACTTGATTCCGCGACGCCCACGCTCGCAAGGGGGAAGGGGGGGGGCGCTGACCTGGTTCCCCCCCAGGGGCAGAGCAGGGGGGCCTCTGCCATGGCTCTGCCGGCTGGAGTTGGCCCGTGGGCGTCGCTGCGTGGTACGGGAGCGCCGGGCTGGCGCGCGGCGCTGGCGCCAAGGTCGAGGCAACCTCCCCCCTGGCTAGCTTATGGTGCCGCGCTGCACCACCAGGACTGTCGCTTTACTGGCTCAGTGACGGCCTGCGTGACCACACCGATGTGGTCACACCAGACAGTTACACGCGCTCTGCTGGACCATGCGTATGCCGCACCGATCGGCGGAAAAGTTTCCACCCCGTACTTGCGGCCTCACTACAATTACAAATTAACGCTGCAGGCACCTGTAAAAACTCCTGCTGCTATCATAGTTACTGAACCGTGTGTCGGCCTGGATTGCCTATCATTGTCTGACGCCTTCAATGGAGTGGGCAATCTATCCTCACGCCAACTGCGTACAACACAACTGCGGTAAAAGCGGGCGTCAATGAGGTATTTTATTGGTATAAAGAAGATCAGGAAGAACAAGCCAGAACATAACAAGCCTTCAACTGTTTTTCGGAAATAGACTGCTTTGCAATTGTTTTAGCAGACGATTTCCGAAAAACAATTGAAGGCTTGTTATGTTCTGGCTTGTTCTTCCTGGTCTTCTTTATACCAATAAAATACCTCATTTTGGTTGACTTCTGTATCAAACACGTGGTTGAATGAGTCTTATTTCTCATAGCGGATGTGTCACTGCGGCGTAAGTGGCGTCATTGTGATAGGCGCTCCCTCCCCCTTTCTCGGCATGAGGCGCCGGGCGCGGGGGCAACCCGACATGTCCACGGTAAATACGTCCACAACAGTTTGGACGTAAATGAAGCGCTTTGCGAAAATACGTCCAATTATTTGGACGTAAATGAACGTCTGCGATTATTACGTCCACAGCGTGGATGTACTTTACGGTCCGTTTGAGATTGGTGAAAATACCTCCACAAAATCTGGCGCTAACTGTCGCCGTTCTGATTCACATCCTCAGGAATGATCAAACGAACCAAAGAATAAACGCATGCGCGTATGCCTGTTTCCCCTCTACACTGATAAACTAAGTGTTCAAACTGTTCAACACTAGTAAGTGTGCAACAGAGTTGTTGTGCCTGTGCTCTTGCAAGTGTTAAAGAGTTGTACAATTTTGGTTTATCAGTGAATGAAAAACACCATTGTCTACGGATAGAGCGTATTTCTAGAGTTTTCAGAGTAGGACAAGCTTGACCTACACTTGGGTGTGTAGAACCCTTGTCCCGCTCTTGCAACTGTCGTACTGGTGGATTTTCAGAGTAAGGGCAGAACGTCATCCTTGTGGATGTAAATGAAAGGAGACAAATAGCAACAGATTTTGTGGAGCTAATTTCACAAGCATCACACGGCTCGTAAGTACATCCACACTGTGGAGATAACGAACGCATCGGTTAATTTACGTCCAAACCATTGGATGTAAACTTGTGGACGTGTTTTCACACCGCGAAAATTTTGTGGACGAATTTACTGTGGACGTGTCGGTCCCGCCTCCCGGGCGCAGCAGCGTCGGGTCGCTGCAAATGGCGCTGATTGTTTGGGGCATACCCGTGCTGCTCGCGAGGGCCCCGTCGTTAGCCGACT